AGCACTTTAAATTGTCTACTTCAAAGTGTTTTTTATCTACACAGTCTCTGATTAATCTATGTAAATCTATAGATACATACAGTATCGGTCATATCAATAGAGCCCCCATTTCAAGGTGATTTTTGTTTGCCAGTCCTGTTTAGTTATTTATTTTTAAATTTCAATTAAAATGTAGTTAATTCTATAAAAAAACCCAAGTTTAAAACTTTGTGTAGAAAATAAAAAAAAATATCAACACATTTTTATCCAAATTTCACACTTTTTTCTCAAAAGTGTTAGAATTTTTTTGAGTATATATGTATGTACATTGTTTTATAGCCCATTCAAATTTAGTGCACGTTTCAAAGGGCTAAAAATTACCTTCGCTTTTTTAGAATTTTTTGTCGCAACCCCCAACCCCAACACCTTTGGAAAAAAATTCAAAAGTTTGAAATATGGATGAAGATTTTTTGATTTTTTTTTCAGTTTTCTACAAAGTTTTAAACTTGGGTTTATATGAGTTTTATTAGAGATTGAGCTGTAATTCAATAAAAAAATTCTTAAAAATAAATAAATAAACATGATTTGAAATGGAGGTGCTCTTGATATGACCGATACTGTACATAGGTACTTATTTTTGTGGTGGCGCTGACATTTTTCTGTTAAGTGCTTAGCCGAGTTTGTCTTGCAATGTCTACGTACGGCAGATGGTTAAAAAAAAAGATGTTAAGTACATTTGTACATGTGTCATTGTTTGCTTTTCGAAAAAAGTTTTTCTATAAATTTTAAGATGTTGCACGGCCCAGAAATTCACCTTGAGTTCGATCGAGTTTTAGTAACCAGATTTTGGGCCGTATGAATAAAAACTAAGCAATTGCTTTTTCTTAAAATTTCAGACGTCTTACTTAAATTTATTTGAATAAATCGAGTAATAAGTAGGTCTGAAATTTTGCGAAAAAGCAATTGCTTAGTTTTTATTCATAAGGCCCTTGTCTTCCCACTCAATCATAATCACGTCACATACGGTAAGAAATAGCTCACATTTATGCGCAATATCGCTTCGCATGTTTCATAGCGCCTACTGTGCCGTCAGCCTAAGAGCCAACACAACAAAATCAGAAACCATTTTTTCTAACCGCAGATATTATGCGCCTAAAATGCGAGTATGTATATAATAACAAAAGTATGTACATTTGTATGCTTTATGTATGGGAGAAATATACGAAGGCTCACGCGCGTAATGACTAAACTTCTATTAGCTTTTATATAAATTTGAGTGATAACAAAAATTTCGCAAAATCGCTCGAACCGTTCGCCACCTTCAAAAGGCAAGTCATTAAACTGATTTCAGTTGACTGCATTTATTCTACTTTTTCCACTCTAAAATCATAACAGAAACTTTAAAGACACTTCCATCTTTTAATTAATTAAATACGAAGAACTTTCACAATGGAGTTCAAACTGGTAAGGAGGCTGCGATTGTAAGCAAGCACTTCATAAAAGTTTTTTAATGTAGAGCTACAAAACCTTAAATTTAAACAAATTAATAATATTACACAGGCTTTCAGTTAGTTTTTCAAACAAATTTCGATGCGCGACATTCTGCAACTCCAGTTTTCGACCACCTTTTCAAGCAATGAGAGCCATATCTCGGCAGTGGTTTGCAAAATATTGTCTTCAATGCTTCTAAAGATTGCGGTTGGTTTTATATGTAAACCAATGGCTTAAATTTTACCCTAAGAAATATTTTTTGATTTCAAAATAAAAAATAAAGGTATATTTTCTTTCGATATAGAATAATTTTGGGGGGGTGAGAGCATTAAAATTCGTTTTTTACCTTTTTACATGCAATTTTGGACCACCTTAATGCGGATACATACATACATACGTACAATTTTATTACAACTCCTTTGGAAATTTGAAATTTTCAGTGCTTGCATATCGACTCTCATTGCTAACAAATAAATAGAAATTTGCAATGCTGATTTATAATAGGCCTTGGCTATTGTAAATCTTGTATTCTTTTGTATTTCAAATGGGATGTATCTACATATTGTATTTTGTTTCGATAATTTATAGTAAATACTAAATTTAATTTATTTACAACAAATCGTGAATTGCTACATTTTCAGTTATTTGATTATTCTTAGACGTTATGTATTCCTTCTTTATCCTTTTTTTTTGTATTTTTTTAATGTACATATAACACAGCCCAGCAAAATTCCAA